TCTGGACAGAAACGTGTTATCTCACCTGTCTCACCATTGGTCAAACAGGGTGATGGCGCGCCAAAGATCCATGGTACGGAGATTTAGTTAGTTCAGCGACGGTTGCATTGAGGATGAAGTCGTTCTACCTGATTCTACATGCAGACGGCCTGAACGTTGCTTGCATCAGCCTTCCGTAGAGCCCCAAGTCGTTGAGAAGGCGCTAGATCAGACGCGTGACAGCTTCCGTGGCTAAAGGAGTGTTGTTGAGACTTCGGGGTGCTTAGGTTTGTTGCAGCCAGCCACATGTCTACGAGTTTTGAGATTGCGACACTGATCCACGCCGTCCGCTAACTGGCTTTTCAAGTGTACGTTGGCAGCGGCTCTGCCGATTCCCAGTTTTTGCACCTTTGCTTTTGCCAAAAATTGAATATCCAGGACTAGGTTTCTTCAAGGTCTTGTTGAACGCTAAGAGAACGTACGGTAAGAACTCTCGAAAAGAAGCAGGAAGCGCAAAGTAGTCTGAATGAAGCAGTTCCTTTAAGGACTGTGCGCCAAAACGGATATCGCAGCGCTACGATTTGTTTAAGAATTCAGTTGATGGCTCAGCAAAAGAGCAAGGACAAGCACTACCTTGGAAACCTTGTTTCAGTACCAGTGACGTGGAAAATCTGTCTCAGAGACCTGAACCAGTCCGAATACAATCTCCAGTCTAGTACCGCTGTTTAGATCGTGTAGGTTTAGTAGCTCACGCGACGAGATTTAGGGGTGGCAGCGACAAGCGCATGCCTGCCTTAGCCGGTCTGAACTGGGCTGGCCATTCACAAAAGACCGGTCGATCGGTTGCCTAGCGATGAGCGCCGTTCCACTTGTGAGTTTCGATCACGATGAAAGATTTCTACACATTTGATAGCCCTAGACGTATAGGGAGTGATGCCTGTTAGGAAGATATCGCTGCGTCCCAGTGTTCGGACAGAAGTGGCCATTTAGTCGTATCTGTTGATAGTTAGAACTTTCTAGATGACCACCCAAAGTTATGAACGGTTATCTTTGGTACAGTGGAAATAAGAATATGGCCATCTTAGAGCGCTGGACTACTGCACCCATGGTGTTTTGGGCTGCATTCTTCACGGAACCCTAGCCATAGACATTAAATTAATTGGCAGGTGATATAGCCGTGGTGCTATGGGTTGTATTCATAGAGAAGACAGCGCAGTTAGTCGATACATTGGAGTTATTGTAACACTACAACAGTTTTATTCGTCTGTCCCTAGCCAATTCTCACAGTCACATCCTAGTTAAGGAAATTCCGTTGAGCTAAATTACCAACCGTCTTCCTCGTTGATATGTTGCTGCCAGATCACCCGGCGACGCCGCTCTCTCATTTTTGTCTTATCCCAGGAATTGAGTGTTATAACTTTTTTAAGCGTTAGCAACTCGTTTTCGTTCCTTTTATGTTTGGCATAATTCATGGCTTACTACAGGACTTTTATAAAAGTATTTTGAAATTAATGCTCCTTTAGATTGTGCTAAAGTCAGAGCAGGTTCTTCAATATTTTGCTTGATGAGGACGTTTGACTAACCTGATGCTGATATTTGGCGCGTGTGTTTTTAAATGTGAATTTTAAAAGAATGTAAGTTTCAACTTTCCTTTGCAAAAAGAGATTGATAGAGGAGCATTTGTTAAGAACGACGTTCCAAGTGCAATTAGTGCATCATAGTTCAATAGTCCCCGTATTCCCAGTTATATTACCCGTTGTCTACAGCAACATAAAGTCCCTTCTTGTACTAACTTACTCTGTTAAAGTATTTCAAAATAATACATACACTAGTACGAATCTTTAGTTTATCCTGCAGTCTTACCATCTCAGGGACAGTAACAGTTTACTAAAGTTTGTTTGACCTTACCATTCTAACGGGTTGTCTTTCCTTGAAAGTTACAGTAAATTCAGGAGGTTTAACAGTCCGCCCTTGAAATGTCATAGTGGTTAACATTCTAGTTTAGTGTCAGTGTCTAGTTTTGCCATCACAAGCGCATAACTTAGCTACTTCTGTTCTGCCATCTCATGTTCTGGAGAAAAACTGCCGTATGAAATATATAAGCATGATGAAGTGATAAATGAAAACGCTCATCAGTGAACAACTAGTTGCTGTGAGAG